GCAGTAGTACACTGCAAAATCGTTGTGTAACGGCTTCACACACCAGTTGGATGGTTCACTCCTCACATAGGGGTTGTGTCAAGTTGTGTAAAGAATTTACACAGCTGCTTTTGTTTTAACACAACTTAACACAATCCCTGTGTAAGGACTAATGAGAGAACCATCCAACTATTGTATAAAGTCATTACACAACTAATTTGCAGTGTAGTAGTAGTAGTAAATGTAGTAGTTCTAGTACACTCTAAAACTGAGGTGCTGTTTTTCGCACTTGGAGGACTATACTCAAAACAGAACAAAGGGCCTCTTTAAGGTTGCACCCATCTTTCGACTGCCTCTAGTTTCACTTTGTTTTATATGTGTGTGTGTTACTGTATCATTGTTTAATGAGGGTTTCAAATCCACTCTGAAGTTATTTTTTTTCTTAAAAATTCTCAATTTCTTTGGTTATTCTCATATTGTCTATTTATTTGTCCTCTAACCCTCAATCTCTTTCTCACGTTTTCTCTCACTTTTTACCTACATTCTCTACCATTCACCTTTCCTTCTATAACCTGTTTTGTCTTCGCCATACATATCCCACTTTGTATTTATATTTCTGTCAGTTTCCCTCCCTATTTTACTTGTTAAGTATACTATAAGTCATTTGAATGTCACTTACTTGAATGTGTATGTATACATGTGTTTTAATTTCTTGTTAATATTTGTCTTCCTGTTGTAAGTTCTACATTACGGTTGTGTATTATGTATATTTTGTTTAGTTCTTTTGGATATACGATCGTTTGTATTGATTTCTTCCGGGGCCCTCACGAAGAGCATTTTATTTTAAGCTGAAGAGGCAACCCTGTTTTTAAAAAAAAAGGAAAATAAATAGATAAAATAAATATGCATAGCACCTTTAGGCTGCTCATATATTCTGATTGCTCTTGCGTGCTGCTTTTATAGCGCAGGTGCATGTGCTACCCGAATACAGCAACCACACATTTGCTACTTATTTTTCACTAAGTCTCTATAAGGGTGTTATTTATTAGCACCGTCAGAGCTAGTTTCAGCACTTTTCAAGTGTACTTATACTAAGTGAATGATGTTACAGTGCTGATTAGGCACCACAACAGGTTGTAATAACTATGCTTGTCATTTAGTTAGAAGCTCAAAAGAACTTTATTAGTTCAAACATTTCTGTCTAGTCTCATTTACTGATAATTCTTCTCTTTTCATGTCCATACTCTCTTGCACTATTGCTCGCTTATTGATCTTTCCACTAAGACTATATCTGCTTTCATTAATTTGTGCAGGTCATGATGGTTGGAAATTCGGAATTGCGAGAAGGGTATCAATAATATCTTTGAAAGTAAGTACTCCTTTTTTAATTTAAGTATTAGGACACTGAACCGTCAACACATTTTAATCATACGCTATACTAATTGCAAGTTATAAAACAATTTTCATAGAAACATCAACATAACGATTATTAAACACCATACACCGTGCAAGAGTTTTAATTCATTTATCATTTATTCTACAAGGTTTTATGGAAGAATAATTACAAACCAACAATCTTACTAACAGTTACTTTACAATGATACAGTCCGTCTAAAAAGTAAACCAAAATTAGAGTTTAACTATATCCGCATTATTTTTCCTTTTTGATATTATGGATGATTTGATTTGATTTGATTTGATTTGACCTATTGGTTTCTGCATCTTTTTTTTTTTTCATCATACATTTTCATGAACATAATATGTTTTGATACAATATTTTAAGTGTATATAATTTTATATAGATAATAAACGAATTTAAACAAATATATTGAATGCATAATTAACACATATTAGATGCAGGAGGGCTACAGAAAGTATATTAATTCGGATAACACTAAAGCTATTTGAATAATCTTACGTTTGAGTGAGCACTGGCGAATTGAGAAAAACTGGTTTGCTCTAAAAAAAAAATAGCTTTGGATTGGATGAAACTGCACATCAGGCAGTTATTGTATCTTCTTTGTTTACTATATCTTTAATAATTGATTGGAACAATTGTTATCTTTAATCTTATGTATAGGGCTTAATATAGGGCTTATAGGGCTCTGCTATGCCCGAGTTGCATATCTAGAAATTGGCAAAGGAAAGGGGCGGGGTCCTCCCAAAACAGGTGTTCAATACTTGTATCTAGACACCTCCATTCATGTACTCCCATAGCAAGTTTTGCTGTAGTTTACCTTGCTATTCAAGAAAAAGCTATCCTGTAATTCAACGATGCCTCATCATTGCAAGGGATTGATTTCCATTACATTTTTGCGTTGATTGTTTTGAAATTATCGAATTTGCTTATCTTTTTCTGTCAATGTTTAATTCATCTTTAAAAGTCGCAAGACCCAAGAAAAGGTAAATGTGAAGGTACCCAAGTACAGGTGTTACATCGTGAGTCAGAAATTCAGACATGAAATATATATATTGATCCACATAATGCTTTAAAAAAAATTAAAGCTGGATGTAAGAGATATCGATATGCATTACACTGCATATTTTTCACATGCTCCAGACAACATCGCATATTGGAAATTAGAATTGAAATTAAAATTGCATGTCTAAAGTTTTCGTTCGTCTGTTATTAAATTTTGTCAAAATGATAAACACAAAGATGGAAATCTTGTGTAGAAAACAAAAGAAGATTGACCTGAACAAAAAGAAGTTTTTCTAAAGAAGCCAGTGCTAACTCTAGTTTAAAATAATATTGATATTTTACTATCATCCGATTGAAAAGAACCTCACCCATGTTTGTGTAATAAGAAATTAAGTCATGCAGATATTATGAAATTGTGATTTGTAAACATATTTTCAAAGTGTGTATATTTGTAGACGCACTGTACAGAGATGTGTACACAGTGTAATTTATACTATTTGTTTTGTTACAATTATGTCTATCATAACATTTTACCATTGCTCACTTTTCATCACAAACATGATCATACGCTAGCTCTATAATTTCCTACAATATATAAAGCAAAGCATGCAACAACTGATGAGCAACAAAAAGCTTGTTTCAACAAATTTGGGTAAAAGAATAATTTACATTTATCAACCGCTTACAATAGCACGTTCTATACATTAATATAAACTACATGCTACGATCTTCCCAAAAGTGTTTCTGGTAACATTTATTATAATTCTTATTTAGTTTCATGATATCTCCATTATAACAAGGACTACATAGACATTGAATGCATAAAGTAACCACCTATTTAGTGGAATACACTTGTTACACTATTGTACATTACATTTAAATTTAAAATTATAACATTTCTGTTACTTATAGCACAGAGCTTTTTTCTTCCAGTTAAGTATAATTGTGAATAGCTGGAGTTGAACGGAACTACATAAAGTACACTGTTAACATAGATACGCAGAATGCTAAGGACCAAAAACAAAGCAAACGCACCAATAAAGAATATGTAACGTGATATACGAAAAAAGAGATCGTTGCTTATTATTAGCTATCAGTTGAAGATGAAATTCACAAGAAATAGAAGTATACATACATATACATATAAAATCAAGAAAATGAAATAAAACGGTCTTACAATCTCTCAATTTTACAATGCCCAGTACGTTCCCAGTATAAAAGCCTCGTTCAGATTATAATGCGTTAAACTTTGGCGGTTTTATTAAATGATTACAGAAAATGTAATACGCTTTAATGTACATGTACAAGTATGTATCTTTTAACACACAGCTCAGTGGATACGCGCAGGATCTTTACTGAGTGCAATTGCCATTCATTTAGTTTTCGGGGGTTTACCGCGTTGTATCTGAACGAACCTTAAAATAAAAATCTAATTGATAATTAAGATTATTGTAAAAACCGTATGACATCTACATCTGTAGGAATGCAAAACCTTCATAAAAGATCATATTAAATAGATTTGTTTTCTGTTTCTTTATTTAAATTCAATACAAATTTCTCATACCGGAGAGGTGTGGGTGTTTGTTGTTTTTTTTTTTTTTTTTTTTTTTTTTTTTTTTTTGGGGGGGGGGGGGGGAGGGAGGGGCTTTGGTTCAAAAGTCCGAACATTTATTTAATAAGAAAGTTCATTATTCAGGAAAATTGAACATTTGGATTATTATACCCAAGGAAAGTAATGATGGTACGGTGCGCGCATGTGTTTTCTTTAATTGCGCTCATTGGTAATGCGCGCTTAATTAGTGTGCTTTTGGATATTAAGCTTCAGTGAAAGTGCATTGCCCTGTGTAGATAGTACCTCTATCTTTAGTGAGAGTGCATTGTACTGTGTAGATAGTAGTACTGTCTACACAGTGTAACGAACTTTTTGCTTCTCCCATCAATAATGGGCGAACTATCTTTCATCACGTGATTTACTTTTGACCAATCGTAGAGCGAGATTATTAGTATGTGGGATATAAAATATCAATAACATTTAAATCTCATTTCCCCCAGAATGATACATTTCATCAAGTCTTTATTTATAAAATACGGATTTGATAGTCCCTTTCATTTTATATACTGCCCAATGCACATTTGTTTATGAAAAATATATTGTTATCATTTCATGCGAGTCATTCAAGTAAAAAAAAAAGAATTCCTAGAAATATTATTTGCTATTTCTATGATCCAAATATACTATTTCAATACCTTCACAGAAATAAGAAACATATCAGCCATAAATTTCTTACCGCAATATCCGTTCGATTCATGATTAAAAGCTAAATCTTTTGGTGGTAGGTCAAACCTCTATTATTATATTTTAGCATACTTTTTACTAAGTAATAGGCCTATATAATGAGTAAAGACTACATTAATGAAAAGAAGAATTTACTTTCATGGCTGATTATGCAACTGAAACATAATACAGAATATAATTAAGTATCCATCTAAAGTGATTTGAATCCGAAATTGGAGTACACAGAAATCAACAAGTTGATACATATTGATTACAAAAAATTACGGATGATAATGACAATGTTCATGACGTTTTAATACACTGTTAGTACGCTAAATTGCCTACCAGATTGCAAAACAAGGGAAAAAATAAGATAAAATAAGAAGGGGAAAACGAGAATTGGAAGAAGAAACAAAAAGAGGAGAGAATGCTGAATTTATAAAGTTGAGTACTATTAACTATTAACTATATCCCAATTACTGATATCGTCCCCTATGAGTAAAATATCTGCACTTTAAATCAATGGAGTCGTTTTCGTGTTTAATTTCATAAATTGAAACGATCGTTTTCCTCAGAAAATAAGGAAAACAAATATTTTAAGTTGTAACGTATGGTTCTTTTTTATACTGTTTTTCTAGGATTTCGTTTTCTTAAGACATTCATTCCTTTTTTAGTCGACCTTCATAGAATCCCTTCAAGTACATTTTATGATGCTCATGCAAATCTGATTCATTGTTTAGCTTAACTTCGTTCACTCGTCTTTGGTGTGCTTCTGACATATCTTGCAATCTTGCAACATGCTCTAATTCTCTTTTCAAAGCCACTTCTTTCATACTATCCATTTCCTTCTTAGTTTCTGTTTCACTCTCTAATCGCGCTTTAGCTTCAGCTATCTCCGCTTTTTTATAATCATGTTGGCCCTCTGAAATCTCTCTTTCCATCGCACGAAATCTTTTCTTCTCCCGTTTATCCTCCGTATTCTCCCTTCTTTTGTGAGCTGAACTACCGGCTTGACCATCATCCTGACAAATTCCAATGAAACGCCCGATGCATGACCTCGTCTTATCATCGAGACTTTCGTCCTTAGATGTGACGTTCTTAACGACGAATATTTTCTCCCGGTCGATTTTCTCGTTTTCCAGGAACACGATCATTTTGTTGACTTCTTTGTCCGATATCTTATCTCCGTGGGTTATCACGACAGATGGTAGTCTCTCTGTGCGTAAATAAATAAATGTTAGAAAAACTTACATTACATAAAGAAATATAGCCAGGAATAGCCAGGAATAGCCAGGTAAACGCAGAAATGCTGATGACAAAAGTATTGAGAAAACTTAAAAACATATGAACTAAATATCAACTGGTGATACTTCTTTTATATTATAGGCGGGCTGATCTATTATGAGGAAGAAATGAAAAAGGTTTTTAATGAGTATTGCATTATAATAATTCGAATAGTAATTACAGATTGTGTACTTAATGCTCCTACTTTTGATGAGCTTCGTGTTAGAAAAGATTTGCACAGAAATTATTGGAAGATATTATGTTTCTATTAGGAGAATATTGCCTGACATGGCGAGGTGTACGCATATACACTGATGATGATAGTAATAATGAGCTGTAATAAATTTAAAAATCATCACAGGAAATATGAGTTTGTAACGAATTCATGTATGTTAGGTAAACTCTTTAAAGTCTGCTACATCATAATCTGCCTTATCTTATTATGTCCAATCCCCTGTGAAATCTGTACATATGGAACTTCGGTACCGAGCCTCTGTGCAATACATTGAAGAAGAAAAAAAGTACCTCACTTTGGGAGCTCTAATTATAAAGTGAAAACCAATATGAATTTCAAGTCAGTTTCATGATGAAGAGTAACGTGTTTTCTATCCAATGATATCATATTCGTAATATATCTGCCACGGATGACTAAGCACCAGGATCTGTAAAAAGTGTTGTCAAAAGTTTTGGCTGATGGAATAAATGGGGGTCAGGCGATATACATAAAGCACACACACACACACACACACACACACACATATATATATGTATATATATATATATATATATATACATGTATATATATATATATATATATATATACGTGTGCTTCTTTGGTCTTAACACTTTTTTTCTAAATTAAAATCATGCCTCATGCTTCATTGCTTCATTGTTTAAAATGATGCAATGTATTACTAGGCTTTCAAAGAACCTTGTTTAAACCCATAGGATAATCTTTAGTTATTTTGAATAGCCTATTAACTGCTTGTTCCATGATATCTAAGTTATCTCTGCTAATTTGTTCATCGCGCCATTTAATATGCATAAAGGAGCATAGAGTGTTTATTTCGAAATGCGAATAAAAACTCAAAGATTACTAAACCTAAATGCAAGATATAATTATAACAAATGATAATTAATATCAAAGAAACTGACAATGAACTTACAAACTCAAACATTGTTCTCCAAATGTGATTTTTTGGCCCAGTAATGGCCGAATGACAGTAATCAAACAAGATCTAACAGCCTAACTCTATCATGTAGAGAGTAAAAGGAACAACAACATGTCCTACTGCATGTTTCTCTTCAGGAAATATCTGCTTAAAATACATGTGTTTGTAATATAAGATTTGTATCGTCTTTATAGTTACCAGCGATATTTAAATAATCAATGTGAAGAAAAAAAGTAAAACACCCATTAAGAAGTTGCGACGGATAAGGCTCATTCGAAGAGAAAAAAATGTGAATAGCAAGTAAATATAGGCCTACGTACTGGTATTTTGGCGGCATGTCTCGATGAGCTCAGTGATGTTTTCAACTGCGTCGATTCCTCCAATTCCGCTGAAAAGGGAAAGATAGATACAGAAGAGTGGATGTCAAAACCCTTTCTCACTATATATATATATATATATATATATATATATTTGAATGAATTCGATGTAACCCTCATGAATTCTGATAAAATATAAATGCAGCAAAGAACCAAAAGAATATTCAAGGTTATAACTATAACCAGCACCAGATATTTCCTCTTTCATTTCCTTCACCAAAATGAAACTCTTGGTCGGTTTAAGTCCAGGAATCTTTACACATTTCCATTTCGTGGCATCTGGTAAAACGTCGTAATGTACCTAAAGACATAGAAAGTGTTAGCGAAATTGAATTATTACATTCAAAGCTTTCACATCATCATAAGATATCCTATGATGGATCTGGAACTCCCTGTAGTCTCATCGGGTGAGAGTCAGTGGACACAGATGGAATGTTTTAACTGGAATTTATAATGATTAAAACAGTTTTTTTTAGGACTGCAAGGTTTATCACTTTATTAAATTACGTTATAAGAGAATTGTTGAATTATTGAACTATCATATCGAATTGATTTGTTTCTCCTTTCTACATATCTTTAAATCTTATATGAACAAGGTGAGACGTACTCACTAATCCAATGTTCTAATGCATTATGGTCGGATATCATAGGTATTTGAAAAAGTGTAACTAGACTGAGATAATTAATTAGAACCTAATAAGCGCCCAATTAGCATCAATCAAAAGCTCTTTCCACTTTTTCCGTCTTTAATAAGTGTTTTCCTCTTTGATTGTTAGAAAAGACAACGATTTGAGGGGGTGCAATTTGATAATTTTTAATTAAGTGTCTCGCTTGTGATTGGCTAACGAGGTGATTGTGCTTCGTGGTGAATGGGCGACTTATTAAAGTGTGGATTCATAGAAAATCACAAATATGGCAAATAGCGTATTACTAGAAACTGGTAAGCTAACAGATGGCCATCGTGCAAGTTTTAGTTCAACTACATATCGGGTGATTTATAAAAATACAAATAAAACAACCTCTATAGCATCTGGGATATGCGAGAGATTCGCCGGAAAAATAACGATGTTTTAATGCCGTCACAATATGAACCAACCCTGCCCAAGCAGACGACACCCCATAAAGAATGAACATAATTGCAATGCTTTTATTTCTCAAATTATAATGAGTTTAGTGTATATAAATGTGATGGAATTTTACATCATTCAAAAAGGGATATGACCCCTATTCGGAAAACTAAATTATTTTGTTTGTAAATACACAGGATAGGGGTTAATGAACAATCAAAGAAACCACACTTTCAAATTAAAAAACCTCCGGAATGATAGCATCGACGTCATTTGTTCCCTCTTGAAACGCCGAACATGCCGCGGTGTATGCAGCTGAAAATACAATGGCGTCCTATTTTGTTTACAAGCGACAGATTCCTTCTCCTACTTTTTTCCTTGCATTTTTCATCCAAATAATACCATGTACGGGGTTTAGAGTGAGGCAATAGATTAAACATTTCGCCTGAGGGTATTGAAGTAAGAGAAATAACTGAAGAAAAGATGACAAAACAGGCAGTGAAATTGTGTGAGATGTCATGGGACATCGTCTGCTTGTGCACATCATGTTCAACATGTGACGTCATATCTCAGCAGCGACCGGAGAGCTTTTCAGTTGCTATGTCGGGGCTGTATCTAAGCGTTTTGTAATTGTTAATAATCATTTCTTTGAATGTTGTCTAAGCATTGGCTTTTGATAACCTTGGCCAATCAAAGTGTCACCTTTGCAATAATGACATTAAAGTTAGTTTTTTAAATCAATGAATCTTCTCTTTAAGGGGTTAAATTGCCCCTCAGTCAGAAAAGGGTGTAAGACTATCTGAGGCTTTACGTCTTATCACCAAATGTTACCTACATCATAACCACGCACGTATTCACACGTTGAATAGTGGAAACATCGGAATATAGACATATTGATGGGAACCCTTTGTTGCTTGAAGGCTATTAATCCTTTGTTCGTTAACATCGGAAAAATCACACAGCAACAAAAGAAAATACTAAAAAAGCAAACAACGTGTGTTTTTCAATGTCGCTTACAAAGTGAGTACATCTTCTTGTTCATGTCCACATTTCAATCAAAATTCCTTCTCGACATTGCGCTTTCATTACCCTCAAAACAAACAACTAAGTTTAAAGGCATTAATACATTAATAGTGATGAAGTGATGCGCGTGGTATGTTATACACGCTCTTTAAAGACCGGTGTGTAGCCCCAGTACTGAATGTGTTGACTTCCCTCGACACCATTATGTATTCTCTTCTCTACACGTGCCTTGCACCATACCCATAAACCAATCGCAACACACTCCTTTAATAAGTTGCCCAATCACTAACAAGCACATTTTCGTTCACCAATCACAAGCAAGACACTTCATAAAAAATGGTCAAATTGCAGCTCTCAAAACTTCCTCATTTCTGAAAATGAAAGAGGAATAAGGCTAGATATAGATGGAAAAGGTCAAAGAAGCTATTAATCAGTGATAGTAAGTCAATGAATAGTTCACTTATGCGATAATTAGGTGCCAATTAATTATCCATGTCTAGTTAGACCATTTTAACTACTTGATATATTTCAGCGAAATGCATGACAACATTGGAGTAGCGACTACGGGGTGAAGGGGGGGGGGGGGGGGGTTAATGCCCCTCAGTCAGAATTAGGGTGTAAGACTTTCAGGGTTAAATGGCCCTCAGTCAGAAAAGTGTGTAATACTTTTTGAGGCTTTACGTCATATCTTCAGAATGGAACCAATATCATAACCACGCACGTATTCACACGTTGAATAGTGGAAACATCGGAATATAGACATATTGATGGGAACCCTTGTTGCTTGAAGGCTATCAATCCTTTGTGCGTTACCATCGGAAGAATCACACAGCAAAAAAAAAAGAAAATACTAAAAAAGCAAACAACGTGTGTTTTACAATGTCGCTTACAAATTGAGTACTCCTTCTTGTTCATGTCCACATTTCAATCAAAATTTCTTCTCGACATTAGGCTTTCATTACCCTCAAAACAAACAACTAAGTTTAAAGGCATTAATACATTGATAGTGATGAAGTGATACGCGTGGTATGTTATACACGCTCTTTAAAGACCGGTGTGTAGCCCAAGTACTGAATATGTTGACTTCCCTCGACACCATTATGTATTCTCTTCTCTACACGTGCCTTGCACCACACCCATAAACCAATCGCAACACACTCCTTTAATTAGTTGCCCAACCACTAACAAGCACATTTTCGTTCACCAATCACAAGCAAGACACTTCATAAAAAATGGTCAAATTGCAGCTCTCAAAACTTCCTCATTTCTGAAAATGAAAGAGGAATAAGGCTAAATATAGATGGAAAAGGTCAAAGAAGCTATTAATCAGGGATAGTAGTTCACGAATAGTTCACTTATGCGATAATTAGGTGCCAATTAATTATCAATGTATAGTTAGACCATTTTAACTACTTGATATATTTCAGCGTAATGTATGACAACATTGGAGTAGCGAGTACATCTCACCTAGTTAAATAGGATTGCAAGATAATGTAGAAAGGAGAAACAAGCCAATGCTACTTAGTATTTGAAAAATACTGGAAATGAAACATATTTATGTGAGCCAAGTTGACTAACGACACCTAACACCACAGTTAGAGAAATACCTTTATTTAATTTAATAATATCTATATTTTTTGCTTCAGTGCGCTCATAGCGATTGCTTCAAACGCCATCATAACGATAGTGCTTGAAATGTAAAAAGGTGAGATACGATAATTCAATAACTCAACATTTATTATCAATTTTATGACATCACTCTCATTAAATAGGATTATAAATTGGAAATACCTTTGATTTTCTTGTTCTGTTTTTCCTCATTCTTTTAAAATTGATTTGTTGTGTTTCAAAAATATATCTCGACAAATTTCAAGACATTCAAGATTTAAAAAAAAAAACACAATAAAAGACACAATTAGATATGTTATGGAGCAATTTAGGAAAGCAAATATTTTGTACACGTATGTATGCAAAATGTCACTTTTCGTTCATTTTTTTTCGCCCGACTTGTAACTATGACATAATTTTTCTTTGTATCTTAATTATTTCTCATTCTCAAATGCTTTTTGACCACTAAGGACCGACTTATCAATGTGTTTGCTTTGTGTGTTCGTGTGTGTGTTCGCGCGCGTGTGTATGTGAGTATTTATGTGCTCTTTATTCTGTAGCTTAGTATTTCCATCCCTTGTTTATGCGCTACATTTTATTATTTATTCACCTTGCCATATAGTTTATGTAGCCTATGCATTTTGTTCACTATAGGGAGGAAAGAAAGGGGGGGGGGGGGGGGGGGTTAAGTGCCCCTCAGTCAGAAAAGGATGAAAAACTATCTAAGGCTTTACGTCATGAAACCAATTTAGTAACCACGCACGTATTCACACGTTGAATAATTGAAAACACCCTAATATTGACATCTAGATGGGAACCCTTTGTTGCTTGAAGGCTATCAATCCTTTGTGCGTTGCCATCGGAAGAATCACACAGCAACAAAAAGAAAATACAAAAAAAGCAAACAACGTGTGTTTTTCAATGTCGCTTACAAATTGAGTACACCTTCTTGTTCATGTCCACATTTCAATCAAAATTTCTTCTCGACATTACGCTTTCATTACTTCCAAAACAAACATTTAAGTTTAAAGGCATTAATACATTGATAGTGATGAAGTGATACGTGTGGCATGATATACAGTGCGTCCCAGAAAAAAACGAAACCGAGAATTATCGATGTTTTACCATAACTTAATCACAGTTATAATTGATAAATGGCATATATATGTAAAGCTTAGATCCCCCTCTTTCATTTGATACAACTCATATTTCACGCATTAGTGATTAAAATCAATTTGAAGAAAATTGAGCTAGGAATAACAAAGTTCTGTTTGTTTAAAGTAGTACTTGCATTTCCATAATTTTATCAAACG